ACAATCCATTAACTATGTAAAAACCATTCTTAGCTGGAAGGGCTGTAAAAAGACAGGTCTGACTGATTTTGGTCTGTAAGCGTGTTGTGGACTTTTATTTTATTGAGTTTAGCACTATATCAGGTTTTAGTTACATCCACTAGTTACAGTCCTGTACATAAAAAAGAGTTACTGGTTACTTAGCCAAAGAAATGTTATGTGTTAATTTTTATCCTAACAGTACAGCAAAACAAAATTTTCAGTTGAAACAGTGTGAGTCAGTTTGTTTTCTTGGATTATGTTTAGTCTCTGATTGAAACTGGTCTGTTCAGCCAGGGGTACAGATACTGTTTTGAGTAACTGGCTGGTTGTAGTACAATTCATATTGATATATTACAGGATCAAAATAGACAGGACAGGACACAAGTAATGATTGCTGAATCCAAGCAACTGCCAAGTAGGAAGCAGTTTTTAAAATTGAATCATATCATTTTTAGAAAGACATGGGCCCAATGACACTTTTTGCTCATCTTTATTTTCATGGTTTCTTTTAAAGTTGCAATGATGTTAAGGATTCCAAAAGTTATCTAAACACACTGTGCTACTGAGGGCAGGAGGAAATAGAAATTCTTATACATTAGTGGTAGTGGTGTAAATTGATACTTCCTCTTTGAAGGGTGATTTGGAAATATCTGTCAACATTAAAAATATACCTACCCTTTGACCCAGTTCTTCTGCTTCTGAGAATTTGCCCAGTAATTACAACCCACACAGGCAAATATTGCAGCATTGTTTATAGAGGCAACATACTGGAAATAACCTAAATGCCCAGCAATAGACCAGTATTTTAAAAATACGGTACACATATATAGTGGAATATTATGCAGTCCTTTAAAAGAATGAGAATTATTGATACAGAACAATCTCTAAGATGTATATCCTAAAGCAAGGTATAGTACTAAATAAGTTACAGTATATAGTTAGTCCTCCTTATCCAAAAGTTCTGCATCCATGGATTCATTCAACTAAACTCAGGTGGAAACCATTGGAAAAAAATTCCAGAAAGTTCCAAAAAGCAAAAATGGAATTTTCTGCACATTGGCAACTATTTATATAGTGTTTACATTTATTAAGTATTATAAGTAATCTAGAGATGATTTCAAGTATACTGGAGGATGTGTGTAGGTTATATGCAAATATTACATTTTATGTAGGGACTTGAGATTTTCACATCCTTGGGGGTTCAGGGAATGAATCCCCTGTTGACACCAAGGAAAACGGTAGTATGTACAGTAGCTACTATGTGTGTAAAAAATAAAGCATATATACACACATGTGGTTTTACATACATATAATATCACTGGAAGGATTTCAATAACATTAAACATTGTCAGTAATTAACATTTAATTCTCATAACAACTTTATTAAGGGAGGTAACATTATTCCCATTTTACTGATGAGGCACAGAGAAATTAAGTAACTGCTCAAAGGCACAAGAATCTGGTAACAAGGTTACTCTATTTCTAGAGCAAAGGACTGAAGGACTAAGGGTCAGAAGGAGACAATTTTCACTGTACATCTTTTTCAGCTCTGTGTGTGTATTACTTAAAAATTATGCATTACTTAAAAAATTATTTCTAAAAATTTGCCTATTCCATTAGGAAAATGGGCAAAAGACTATCATGAGCACTGTTTACAAGATAGTCAATCTTACTAATTTTCAAAGATATTGCAAATTAAAATAATTTCTTAGCTTCAAAAAGATTAGAAATGTTGATAATGCTTATAGTTGGCGAGTATGAGGAACTGGGCCCTAAGAGGATGAAGTCATGGAACCTTTCAGGAGAGGAGTCTAGTAATGGGTTTTGCTAGTCAGTCTGTGCTGCCGTAACAAAGTACCACTAACTGGGTGGTTTAAACATCATTTATTGTCTCACAGTTCTGGAGCCTAGACCTATATCAGAGAATGTTCATAGCAGCACTATTACAATAGCCAAGACATGGAACCAACCCAAGTGCCCATCAACAGATGACTAGGTTAAAAAGATGTGGAGATACATGTGTGTGTGTGTGTGTGTGAATATTATTCAGCCATAAAAAGATTGAAATATTGTAGCAACATTGATGGACCCAGAGAGTTTTATGCTTAGTGAAATAAGTCAGCCAGAGAAAGACAAATACTATATGACATCACTTATATGTGGAACCTAAAAAAATAATATAAATGAATGTATATACAAGAAGAAACAGACTCACAGATGTAGAAGACGAATTTCTGGTTACCAAAGTGTGAGGGGAGGGACAAATTAGGAGTATGGGATAAACAGATACAAACCACTATACATAAGATAGATAAGCAATAAGGATTTACTGTATAGCACAATATCTTATAATAACCTATAATGGAATATAGTCTGCAAGAAAACCCCAAAACTCTGAATCACTATGCTGTACACCTGAAACTAACACGATATTGTAAATTATACTTCAATTAAAAAAGAAAAATTTTCTCTCTTTAACTCACTAGTTATGCTGAAATAAAATCAGTAAAGGTAAAAAAATACTTATAGAGAAAATAGTACAATAATAACTGTCACCCAGTTCAACAAATAACAAGATTTTTGCTGCCTTTTTACACGTACATACAGTATGCATTTCTTAAAAAATTTAAAGAAGACATTTTCTTACAAAGTCTCAGTGCCATTTTCATGCTTAACAAAATAACAATTCTTTGATTAGTTGGTATCATGTAATAGCTGGTCCATAATCTAATTTCCCTAGTCGTCTGAAAAATGGCTTTCTAAGACTCTAAGTTGGTTTGAATCAATATCTAAACGAGGTCCACACACGTTACATTTGATTGCTCTGTTTCTAAGGCTATTTAAATTAGAGCAATCGGCTGTCACTTGTATTTTTTTTTAGATGCCATTATCTTATTGCAGAATGGACTCAATCGACATATGCGTGCATTTACCGAAAAAAAAATCCACACACTTCAAAGGAACCAAACATTGTATTTTGAGGTTCAGGAAGCTGGTTTTATTTAGAAATATTTCAAGTAGTTACAAAGACACAATATTTCTAAATTCATATAAACCTCATAAGGTGACGCATAGGTCCATCCGTGTCACATCACCGCATCACTATTTAGCAAACCCTCTGGTCGCCACAGGTGCAGCCTGTACAGCAGGGGGCAGGATCACCTCCTGGAAGCCTAGAGCTTAGGAAACTCCTCTCAACGTTAAGCAGAGAGAATGGTTTCAAGTAAATCACAAAGATAACTAAAAGAAAAAGTTTCCTCTGAACACAGAAATTAGGTAAATCTCCAGAGAATGGGGCGGTAAGGAAATATCTTAATTAAATAATACAGATTATAGATATTTTAGTTGAAAGAGCAATTAGACTTGGTTTAACGGGGCAGGGGTATCAAAGTGGGTAAGAGAGATGGTGGACGACCGAAGGGAGAAGAGCGAAGAGTCGGATAAATAGCGGTGAGTGGCCAGAGAAGGGTGGAAACCTGCTCAGACCATTCACCCCTCGATGAAAGAAACCGAGACTCAGGGGAAGCCGCCACGGCGAGCTAAGTCGAGCGAGGGACGAGAGATAATCTCAGGGACTAACTCCAGGTGTTCGAAAGGTAGTGCGGTAACCGGTTTTTCCAGAGATTGGAACAATCCGGCACAAGCAATCGAGCACCCACTGGGAGAGCAGCCTCCAACGCGAGCCCCACCACGCCCAGGACGAGACCTGCGAAATCCGGGACACGCCCCCAGCAGGTGACTCAAGCGGCGTGAGTTGTGGCCGCAGCCATCCGTGCCTCCGCCGCGGGAAGTAATCCCTGGCCGCGCCGGCTCCGAAGGGAGCTGGGTGAGAGCCCTCAGGGCGTGAGTTCCGGGAGCGGTGAGTGTGCAGCCAATCGCTGCAAAGGAGGGTGTGGCTGTAGGCCCCGTGGATTCCTCCGCTCGCGCTTGCAGTGCTGAGGCCGAAGACGCCGCCATTTTGGATGCTGAGCCTTGATTCCTAGCTCTTCCTCTGGGGTTTTCACGTCTGGGTTTGGCCAGGTGAGTATGGCTTCTTTAGCGTCAAAGGTCTTTGTTTTCATCTTCACACTGCGCTCCGGATTTAGAGGTCCGTAGCCCAGACCTTGCGGTGGCAGGTGAGGAGAAAGGGAAGGGTCCTGGTTGAGGGGGTCAGGCCGGAGGTCAGGCCGGAGGGGCAGCTGCGCAGGAGGCTTCCTGAGGCCGGGCCCGTGGGCGTGGCAGGGCCGCCAGCAGCTTGGAGACCGAGGGTCCTGGGTCTCTGACGCCGCCCAACTTTTCTGTGTCGTCCTCTCTGCTCTGAGGTGTCTCTTCTCGGGGCGGAAACGGCGCGGCCTGGGCTTCGTCGCCCGTCGGTGACAGGGCCTAGCCTGCGCTTTTGGCGACTCCTTTACTCGATTTCTTCTGACTCAGGGCGACTTCAGTAAGGTCGTTTGCCCTGTGCCCGCCGAGTCTGTTCGCTTCCGAGTTCGGCAGCCTCCCGCGGGCGGGGCGGCCTCCTCGGTGCCCGGGCGCAGTTGCCTTTTTCTTGAGCGGAAGCAACAATCAGCGACTTCTGCCCCCTTTCGCAGATCCCTACCTGTCAGATGAGCGGTCTAGTGAGGTGTCTGTGGCCCTGTCCTTGCCTCCACGTTCTGTTCTCAGCACTCCTCTTCCGGGTGCTGGAGGCAAGAGGACTCCAAACTCTACCTGCATAAAGTTTTACCGGGAACGGGACCCAAGAGCGTCCTTTTGCTAATTAGGTAATAGGAAGGACACAGCCCCTTTCACTTCTGTAGTAGTAAAGCTGAAACTAAGAGCTGGTCTTAACTCTTTCGGGAGATTGTAAATTTTTTTCTATTGTGCCTGCGTATTTATTATTTTTAAAGTTTGTATTACAAAATTTTGAACAGACAAAAGTAAAGACAATGAGTTCTGTCCTTATCCAACTTCAACAACGATCAATTCAGGGCCCATCTTGTTTTATTTATAGCCCGTAATGTATTTAAAAAGACAATAGTTGCTATATATTCTCCCCCGACCCCCCAGAAGCCTTTTTATTCTTGTACCTATAAACCAGTAGTCCACGAAAAATTTTGTTTTTATAGCTTCTTCAGAACGCCATCTTTTGGGGTTGGAGGACTTTGTAATATCCTTTTATTAGAAGCTAAAACAGTGTTTTGAAACTTAAGTGTTAGCATTATGTTTTAAAGTTACGTAGTTTCTTAAGTCTTCTCATTTTTAAAGTAGCGTTATTTTTTATCTAGATTGTTTTCATTTTTCCACTCTTAACTGTGCTTCTGGCTTCTCAGTGATCAGGAGCTCCAGAACCCGCAACTTTGGTCTACTTAATTTAAGCCCTTATTCCTTTAAAATCAAAATCAAGTCCCAATGACATGTAGTGTATTCTGATTTAAAAATAAAACTAGACAAGAGTGTAGTCTAAAGAAAAATTTCAAATATAGGGGAAGTACTATGCATATGAATACTAATTATAGCATTATTTTGTATGGCAAATGTCGAAATGTTGGAGGATATTTAAAAATGATTACTCAGTGAAATACTAGGCAGCCATTAAAGTTGTAAGGACTAGCAGATATAAGTGATAAAAGAATTCAGTAGTGCTCAGAGTCCATGATTACAACTTTGTAAAAAACATGCTTTAAGATAAACTCTTGGCAAAAGGTATACTCAGTGAATTTTTTATATTTATTGAGAAACAAGATAAAGATACTTTAATAATGGCGACACATTTCAGTATTTATAGCTCCTTGATGAAAATCTTGATGGTCTCTGAATTCTGTAGCCAATCCTTTTCTTGTGAGTTACACATGATGCTGCTGGTTTCGTGGTCTTTTATTAAATTTTCAATCTTGCTTAGTTTGGTCAGTGAAGATCAGATTACAGTTTATAGTGTGAAAATACAGTAAACTTGGCATTCTGTAAGTGATAGTTTTTTAATTGAAGTACAGTCGGTTACAGTGTGTCAGTTTCTGGTGTACAGCACAGTCATGCATATGCATACATGTATTCGTTTTCATATTTTTTTCATTAAAAGTTATTATAAGATGTTGAACATAGTTTCCTATGCTATACAGAATAAAATTTTTAAAAGATCTATATATATATAGTGGCTAACATTTGTAAATCTCAAACTCCCACGTTTATTCCTCCCTACTCCCTTTCCATGGTAACCATTAAGATTGTTACTAAGTCTGCCAGTCTGTTTCTGTTTTTGTAGATGACTTCATAGTGTCTCTTTTTTGATTCCACATGAGCGATATTATATGATATTTTTCTTTCTCTTTCTGGCTTACCTCACTTAGAATGATTATCCCTAGGTCCATCCATGTTGCTGCAAATGGCATTATTTTATTCTTTTTTATGGTAGAGTAAAAGTATACCACAACTTCTTTATCCAGTCATCTGTTGATGGACATTTAGGTTGTTTCCACGTCTTGGTTATTGTAAATAGTGCTGCTATGAACATTTCAAATACAAAAGTTTTCCTATAAATATGTAGGAAAACTATATATATAATATTAATATAAATATACATATATTTATATATATATAAAATGTCATTCTAGGCTATTGTTAACTTTGTGTCCTCCCTTGCCTGCTTGTTACTTTTTGGAGCTAGAAGACTTAACGCTGGTTTCTTAGGGCTTAAAGATCTTTTTTGCTATTTTTAGCTATTTAATTTTTTTTGGATTAAACAAAGTTCAACAGGTTTATTTTTTTTTTTTGACTCTTAAAAAATTGAAGTATAGTTAATTTACAATGTTGTTAGTTTCAGGTGGACAGCAAAGTGACTCAGTTACACATATATATCTATGCTCTACAAATTTTCGTTTAATCCTCATACTTGTGTTTTGAAATGTGAGAATTCATGTAAATATTAATGCTAACTTTCCTTAAATGTTTGATGGAATTTCTTTAAATGTTTAAAAGAGAAGCTACCTGACCCTGGACTTTCTTTTGGAATGGTTCTTAATGTTAGATTCAGTTTTTGTAATGTATAAGGGACAATTAGATTTTCTATTTCTTTGTGTCAGTTTTGGTAAATTGAGTTTCTAAGAGATTTGTCCATTTTATGTCATTGTTGAATTTGTAGGTATAAGTTAGTAGTAATGTTCCCTTTTAATATCTGTAGGATCTGTATTTGTATTCCCCTCTTTGAGTCCTGATATTGGTAATTTGCACGCGCGTGTGCTCTCTTTATCTCTTTCTCGCTCGCTCTCTCTCTCATTCTCATTCTCTGTCTCTCTCTTCCCCTCCCTCTCCACTACACCCCCCTTTTTACCTTCTTTTCCTCTTTTCAAAGAACCAGCATTTAGTTTCATTGATTTTTCCCTCATTTCAGTTTTATTAGTTTTGCCTTGTTTTTATTGTTTCCTTCTGCTTGCTTTGGGTTAATTTTGCTTTTTTTACAGTTCCTTATGGTGGAATCTTAGATTACTAGATTACTAATTTGAGACCTCTCTTTTTTTCTAATGTAAGCACTTAGTGTACATTTCCCCCTAAGCACTGCTTTAGCTACATCTTACATACTTTGATGTTATATTTTAATTTTAATTTTCTTCCAGTTCAAACCTTTAAACAAATTTCCACTTGGAACTTCCTCTTTGACATGGATTATTTAAAAGTATGGTGTTTAATTTCCAAGTGTTTGGAGGTTTCCTGTTATCTTTCTTGTTAATGATTTGTAGTTTAATTCATTGCAGTTAAAGAACATACTTTGTGTGACTTAAGTTCTATTTAATTTGTTAAGGTTGGTTTTGTAACCCAGGATATGGTCTACATTCATGAATATTCTGTGTACATTGCTATGTTGGGTGGAATGTTCTATGTCAGTGAGATACAGTTGGTTATTGTTAGTGTCTTCTATATCCTTGCTAATATTCTGTCAGTTTGATGAATTACTGAGGGAGGTGTGTTGCAGTCTCCAACTACAATTAGGAATTTGTTTCTTTATCCTGTCCTTTCAGTTCTTGCTACTCGTATTTTGAAACTCTGTTGGTAGGTACATTCACTATTACGATTGTTTTATTTTCTTGGTGAATTCACTGTTTTATGATTATGTAATGTCCCCTTGTAGCCTTCATTTTCCTATTGCTCTTCCAACTATTTTTTTTACATTGAGATGTAATTGATATATAACATCAGTTTGGTATTAGTTTCAGGTGTACAACAATAATGATCTAATATATGTATGTATTTGGAAATGATCACCACAATAAGTCTAGTTAACACCTGTCAGCATACATAGTTAAAATTTTTTTCTTTTGATGAGAACTTTGAAGATTTATTCTCTTAGTAACTTTCAGATATGCAATACGGTAATAACCATAGTCACTATGGTATGTATTCCATCCCCATGACTTAATTTTATAACTGGAAGCTTAGAATTAAATGGGTGAAGAGAAGTCAAAGGGTTCAAACTTCAACTTTCTTTTGATTAGTGTTTGCGTGATACACTTTTTTTCATCATTAATTTAACCTGCATTATTGTACTGAAGTGCCTTTCTTATTGACAGTATATAGTTGGATCATATTTTGAACCATTCTGACAATCTTTTAATTGTTGTGTTTAAGTAATTTCTGTTTAATTATTTATATAATTATTAGTATATTTGAATTTAGGCCTACCATTTTATTATTTGTTTTCTGTTTGTTTCTTCTGTTTTTCATTTCTGTTTCTGCTTTCCTGCCTTCTATTGGATTATTTGAACACTTAAGTATTCTAATTTAAAATCTGTTGAGTTTTTTAGTATATATTTTTTGTGTAATATGTTCTACTGGTCTCTCTAGGGACTACAGTAGACCTACTGAAGTTTTTACAATGTACTTAGAGTCAGTATTTCATCACTTCTTGTGGAGTATAGAATCATCATATAGGTCCCTTTACCCTGCCCCACTTTGTCCCATTATGTTTTGGTTATCTTATGTGTTACATACATCGAAAGAACCCCATCAAACAATGTTATTAGTTTTACTTTTAATTGTCAAATACATTTTAGGAGACTCAAGAGAAGAACCAT